ATGTGGGTAACAACGACCAAAACTTCAGGAATATTGATACTTAGAAGCTGAAAGTTCATCTGGAACTGTACTTTGAAATATAGTATGAAAGCCTACATAAAACCAGAATTATTTTAATTTTTCAACCTCTTTGTTTTGTGCTTTTGTGTGAAACCTATAACGAATAGAATCTATCTCCAGAGTTGCAGTATGTACTGTTAAACATCGGTTTTACAGTCAACAAAGCACATCATATTCCAATCAGTTTGCAATGCCAATGAATTAGAGTTTTTGAAATGACTACAAACAGCTAATAAGTTGAAAGCAATAAACTTATATTTTTGGTACATAATAATGACTAAATTTAGAAGTAGGGATTCTTAAGAGTCATTCAGCCAGATACTGTAGTTGCAGCAGTTTCTCTGCAATACAGAGCAGCTGCTCAAAAATCAGTTAAAAAACCAAACAAGCAAAAAACTGCAATCCAAGTTTCATGGAAGTTAGTTTTATGTCTAACATAATAATATAGAGTGCCACAAATATTAAAAGTGTCTGACATCCTTCGCTGGCATCTTAAACCCTATTAAAACATCTGTTTCCACATGAAGAAAGGCATTACAGTCATATTTTGACTTCACAATACGTCAGCCTTTCCCCTCACCACCAGAAAACTTCTATAAGAAGAAATGATAGGTTACTACCACAACCTGAGTCCCAGTGGGGAAGGAGGTAGGGGACAAGTGTAGAACCTCTTTCCCCTGCACCACCAACAGATGAGCTCACACACAGCAAGGAGCTAACCAAAGTCAGTAACGCCAATTAACAGGGCCTGTAATGAAGCCCAAAGTCCACAAAAAGACTCGGTGAGAAGGGGTATCTGGTATAACAGAAAATATTCAACGGAAAATTTGGACTGTGTTCAAAGAAGTCAAATCCTCAGACTTTTAACTCAAATATTTAATTTCAATGACTTGTATGATAGGGAAGACCATATCAGAAGGACAGTTTCATCTCCTTGCTACTTTTCATCAACCTCTTCAGCAGCACACTTACAGAGTCCGACAAGCAGGGAAAACTGTTTCAGCCAACTAGTCATCTTAAAAAAACCTGCCTCAGGTAGTTAATTGCCTTAAAATACTCTACTTCACAACTGTTAAAATAACAAGCACTGACTACTAAGAGAAAAATGAAGACATAATGACCTTTTAAAGAGTCTTTCCATGGTATTTCAGTAGTTAACATTAAAACAGAAGTATTATTTGTTTATATGAGAGAAGATTTCCCTGGACTCAAACAGTTAATTCAGTTGTCCATGTAGACCTGTTCACTGTGCCTGGAATTTTAACTCGGGCTACATTCCACAAATCCCAAATTGCAAATTTAAATTAATGCTACAGTGAAAACATGATACCTAGTCAAAAAGAAAGGCAAGGGGGCAAGAGAAGACAAAAAGGAATGTATCCCAAGCGTCACTAACACCTGACATCCTGCCAGTAGTTAACACCTTGGAGCTAACAGAAATACACCACGCTTTTGCCTTGTTCAAAGGCACTTAAGATCTCCTTACAGTCCTTAGCTTTGTAACAAAACTTTATATGAAATTGTTATCTAATAGAAACAAAAAGAAAGGAGATCCAACTGTAAAGCAACTGAAACAGCACTCTAACAAGTCAATCTACATAACCTTTTAACAATGATCTCACTGTTACCAGGGGGTAAAAAAACCCAGAAATTAAAAAAGCTGGCTCATACTCTCTCCTCTCATATACCTGACAGCATGCAGAACTTACTCAGATTCATACAGTCTTCCTTTTGCCATTAAATATGTATCTGAAAACCTGAATGCATACTCATATTATTTTCAGAACACCTACATAGAAGGTGAACATCTTTTTAACCCTCTAGTAAGGAAGCTTTAAATATTGTGCTTGTTTTATTTGTCTCACAGCATTGCTGAAGAAAGGGATGTTTTGCTGTTTAATAAGAGCTAAGACAATCCTATAATGTATGAGAGAATCTAAGAAAGGAACTAATCCTCACCCTGCAAACCAACTTGGAATGAGAAAACTTTTGCCGAATCTATTTGAAACCTACAAAGAAGTCACATGGCAGGGCTATGCAGATGACTAGCCAAAAAAAAAAATAAAATAAACCCTCTTTTCTCCTTTTTGTTTCTCTATCAAAAGAAGGAGAGAACAGGAAGAAGCGGACAGAAATAGGGAATCCCGACCAGCACTACGTTTCTGTTTTATCATATGGCCTCAACACTTTGTTAACTCCTTGGCTGTAGCAGATGTTTTTGTGTATTGGCCAGAACTAAGGACAATGACACAGGATAGTTTTCTTCAGGTAGGAAGTGCCAGATTTCCTGGTAATTGAACGTTTTAATGGCATTGCCAATCGCCTCTTTTGCTGATCTCCAGTAGGGGCCAATAAACAAGGTAGAAAAGCAACCAGCTCTAGAGGTAAGAAGATAAGACTGTCTTTCCAGCCAGAGTTAATGCACCAGGACGGCTCCCAAATAGAGAGAAAAAGCCGGGGAGAGGGGAAAGAAAAAAACACGAACCCCAAAACAACAACCAAACCTCCACAACAAAAGTTTACAGTACAAGAATAGTCGTGTTAAGTTTAACACTAGATAAACAGAAGAAAAGTTTACAGTATAATAACTCGATACCATAGCCCAGTATTATTAACTAGCAAACTGGAAGTGCAATCTCTCTTTAAGAATCACATATTCTGTGGGAAAGCACAGCATAATTTTGTGCTTTTACTTTTTATACTACAGACAAGCCCACTGCTGATGCATCTCCTCTATGCTTATTTCTCATTAACATATGATACTCACCTGTAAGAACCAAGTGCATTTAGACTCCTAGGGAAAAAAAAGTCTCATACCTATTTATTTTAAAGGTTAAAGGGTTAACATTTTTCTAGCCTTTTTCTTTAATAAATATTTGCAAGTCAAAAATAAACCCGCTGCTGAGAAACCTCTATTAACCAGAAGCTATTAGCTAACTGATCCTGATGCTTCAATGCACAATGACTTAAGTTGGTTTTAATTCCTAAAAAAAAAGGAACCAAAACCAGCCTAAAGCAAGACACTACATTCTACACTGCAAAACTAGTTGATAAAGACTCAGAGGTTTTTTTAAAATAAAATGAGTGCAGAAACGAGGTCCAAAAGTGATGAAGATGAAAGATACCTGGAATGATACCGCATCTTATATACCTTTTGTTTTCTGAGTGATACACGCTGCAGACAAAACATTTTGTGCTAAACAGCCTTAAATCTGGTTTTCTAATATTAAGCACAAAGGAAAAACACTGACAGCAAGCGTGGTAAATAAATCCCTCCCTTGAGAACGAAAGCAGCAGACAGGAGGGGGCTGACACGCATGCAGGAGAAAACTAAACACCATCTTTTTTTTCTACCTGCACAAGTTGCCATTTGCTGCAGCAATCAAGAATCCCTTTTCCCCGTTGATTTCAAAAGCTAGGTTTTCAGAAAATTTCTCTCGCAAGTCATCTGTTGATAGGCTCTAAGAGTATTACATTCATATCACTGGATCTTTAAGAGAAAAATCCATTTTCTTTCCTGTTCAGGTAAACATGTTTACAGCTCCTGCACAGACACTGGGTGGTTCAGACTCACATGTCACACACATGTCGTCAGCAACAAGAAAAGCCCCTTTCTCTGATCATCCACATTTTTAATAAGGTAAAGAGAAAAGCACTTTCCAAACTTACCTTTAGCACAGCCAAATCATGAGCTAAATATAAATATTTACACAAGGACAAGGAATTAATAACATGAGCGTGCAAACAAAAATACTTGCTAGAAAACGCACACAGAAAAAAAATAAGAAAACCCTTTTAAGTTCAACGCAATCAAACCAACCCGTTAGCCCCTGGAAAGGCCGTCATTTATCACCGTTACGCCCCGAACAGTCAGGATTAGAGAGGTGAAGCACCGATCGTGACTCTGATCTATTTCAGAGACCATTCACTGCGTATGAAAACATCTCAGATCGCAGGCAAAGCCTTCCTATTTGTGACCCTGCACAGGAAATGCCACATGAAACCTAAAATTGCCAAGAAGGGTTACAAAATCTGCTTTACATCCTACTGCGAAGAGTCGTGCTACGAGGACCGAACTAGTTCTCCATTTTCCAGAAAATAAGTAGAGTGGATGTTACGAGCGTTTATTCCCCCCGCCGTGTACCTTCCCAATGCATCTTAAAGTAACACACGTACCAAAAAGGGGGGGGAACCACCACCCCACAGCAGCCCTTAAGTCTGAAATGTAAATGTAATTCCTTATATAGACTGCAGCAGCTGGTCACACACGCACGGAGAGCAGAGAGCGGGGGCCCCCGGCCAAACCGTTACCACCCATTATTATACAAACAGGTACCTCCGAAGACAAGAGGGGAAGAAAGTTCGCCGCCCGGGCGCAGCCCTCCCTCCCTGCCTGCCTTGCCCACAGCCCCGGCGGGGCGGCCGCGGGGCGCTGCGGGGACCAACTCTCGGCGGGGCGGAGAGGCGGGAGCGGGCGGGGGGGCGCCGGCCCAGGGCGGCCGCGCTGCCCCCGCGCGAATCGCTGCCCGGGGCGGCGGCGGAGCCTCCCCCTGTGTGTGCTCCCTGCCGGGGCTGCCCCCGGCGTGCCCCCACCGCCGCCCCGCAGCGAGGATCCGGTCCGCTAACCCGGCGAGGGGGGCACTCCGGCGGGCGGCACGGGCGCTGCCGGGCGGGCGGCGGGGCCATCCCCGCCCGCGGGGCCGGGGGGAGGCGCGGGGGAGGCCCCGCTCCGCCGGGGCAGCGCGCAGGTAACAAGTTTCGGAGTTGGGGCTGGCGCGGCCGGGCGGGCGGAGGGCGCTCCCCCGGCGCTCCCCGCGGGGCTCCCCGTCCCCACCCGGGCCGGAGGGCGGCGGCGCGGCCGGGGGGCCCCGATCCCGCTGCCGGCGGCGGGGCGGGCGCGGGGCGTGCGGGGGAAGCGGCGTGTAACGGTCCCGGACAGCGGCGGAGTGCGGACGCACCGCTAGGCGGAGGAGGGAGGCGGCGGCGACGGAGGCTCCAGGTAGCGGATATAACGGTGCGGAGGGAGCCGCGCTCCCGGCGGAGCCGCGGCGGGGGGAATTACTTTGGCGCTCGCCCGCCCGCCCGACCTCCCCCCTGCGCGCTCGGGACGGCCGTGCCCGGCCCCCGCCCCGGCCCCGCCACCGCCCCGGCGCTGCCCCGCGGGTGACTGACCGTTGTTGCGGCGCGGGTTCGGCTGCTTCCTGCGCTTACACCTGGGGCCATCCGCCATGATCCGCTCGCTGGTGTCTAAATGCTCCAGTCACCTCCTCCCCCGCCCGCCCCCCTCCCTCCCTCCCTCCCTCCCCTCCCCCCCGGACCTGGTTTACGACACTGGGTGGTTTTACTTTTACATCACCTTCCTACACCTAGTGCTCGCCCGGAACCTTGTTGCCAGGGGTGACCGGGCGCTTTACGGCAGCGCGTTTGAACGGCGGCGGGGGAAAAAGTTGCGCCCGCAGGTACCGGGGGCGGCGGCACCGCCCTGGCGGGCCCGGGCACACCGACCCCCGGCCGTGGCAGCGGGAGGGATCCCCGCCGGGCGTCGGTGGGCGCCAGCCCACGGAGGGGGGTTCCCACGGGGGAGCATCGCCGTGCTGAGGGACCGGCCCGCCCCGGGAGCGCCTCCAGGTGCGACCCCCGCAGCGCCCCCAGGTGCGGCGGGGCCGGGCCGGGGCCGGGCCGGGCGGGGCTGTGCCCGTCACCTGGAGGGGCTGGTTCGTCAGTGACGGGTGTCCTGCGTTACAGCTCCAATGGAGAGACAAACAGCTGGAGAGTGACGCTGTTCTTGCTGAACCTGCCGTTCTTGCGCTTTCCTGAGTCATACTTCCCGCTTTCGCGAAGAGGAGAAGAGGTATAAAATTCTGTGCCTCTAAAAAAAAATAATAAAGGGAAAGAAGCAAATTTTCACGAATAATTAATGGAAGACCTCCTTTGGGCTTAATAAACTTATTAAATGTGTTAAAAATTAAAGCATTACCACCAAACGCTTGTGCTATTTATTAACTCTTGCCTTTCGCTTCAGGCAATAAAATAATTTAGTGAGTTTGTTTCTAGGCTTCCTTATTTCTCTCTTTTTTTTTTCCCCTCCTTATCCTAGGATGATTCTGTAGAAACTGAAATTCTGTGCTTCTTGGGAATTCTTTTATCTAAACAGATGAAATTTCAGTGCAAGTGTTTCTGTTAATGGGATACTTTCAATAAGAAATTGATACACTGCTGAACTTGAGGTCTTTAGCTATACTACATCATTTCCACATGCTGTATGTTCACATTCTGTAACCTATCACCTCATTTCATGGAAGCGGCATAGCGTGTCTCTAGAAAAGGAACTATTGAACACTGCCAGTTTGTGGGCATACCTTGCATCCCCCTAAAAGCCAGTACATTCAGAAGTGCTTAGAAAAGAAGTATTGCTCTAAAATGGAGGCAGAATTAGGTAAAGATCCAAAGGGATATTTTCCAAATTAATCGTACCAGCAAAAGTGTACAAGAGTACACATGAGTGTACAAGTGTACAAGTTTTCACATGAAAACATTTTTGCAGGTAAAAATCATTTGTCTGGTATCTCTAAAAAAAGTTGGTAAATTTAGGTATATTGTTTTTACATATGTATCTTTACTCAGTGTTGGTTGGCTGCTGACCTCAACATTTTAATAAGGATCTACCTGAGAGTCATTAAAAAAGGTTAACAAATCAAACAATACCACATGTTTGATGGACTAATAGAAGTCATTTAAAAGCTATCCAAATACAAGGATAGCTAAGAACTGTGACATGAAACCAACTGCAAGATAAAAGTGAAACTTGTCAGCAAGATTTTGAGTGAATGGATTGCAAGGTTTAGGGCAGAATTTTGTTGGTACTTCAACCTCCTTGCTTGTCAAGTTTTTGTGCAGAAGATACCTGTCACTGTGAAACTGTTTGCAAATGAGGGCTTAAGGTGCTTTGGAATTCTTGGATGCTTTTTATCATTCAGTGGATGAATTTAAGCAAAATATCACGTACAGGTTTTCATACTAAGTTTTTGGTTCCTTAAAATTAGTCATGGTTTTAGAAGGTACTTGCAAATAAAAAATAATCTAAAAATATATTTGTAGATTTGTAAGAATATTCCCCTGCATGCCCACACAAAATTCCAGGCCCTCTTTAAGCAACTTTGAAGACCTTATTTACTTTGAGTTTTGTCACTTTCCACTTCTGGATAAGAATTCTTGTGTCTTCATTTTTGAGCAATTTCCGAGCAGAATGAGCAAAGAAACCGTCTCCTGATGTTTGTTTTGCTCTTTTTCCAATAGCCATAGTGTCTGTTTGAGCACTAGTCTCCTGAGATTTCCAAGCAGCTGGGAGAAACTGGTGACAACTCCTGCTGGCCATTAGTTTCTGAAGAGCAGAACTGAAACTGGCAGGAGCCTTGGTAGCTCTACGCTGCTATAGTTTTGATAAATGAGAAGAGAAAACCAAAGCAATCTTTGTATATGTTATCTTTCATACCTAGGAGGTCTAGAAACCAAAAAAACAGAGGATAGTGTTTTGCCTCAAGTTATTGATGACTCCAATCACTATTCACTGTGAAAGGTGTCTCATTCACAACTTGTAAATAGATGAGTGGATGGGTTGCTTTTTTGGTTTTTAAACTTTGATATGTTTAATCCAAGCAACTGGGCGCTTCACATCTTAGTATACGAAGTTCTCATTATTTAATGTGCTGAATTAAGGATGCAGCCACTGACAAACAATTTTGACCTAATACTTTCTTCTAATCCTGGATGCAAACACACTAGTTAAAATTCTTGCTATTTTTGTCATGTTCTGCAGTGTTTGAACACATTGTATATGTAGTTTAAACTGGTTTGTGCTGCAAGAATGGAAAATCCTATTTTTCTTTATGGTGCACATGTTTCAATCTGACTTTTCAGTCAAGGATGCAGACATTAATTAATGTATTCTTTGGAAAATCTTAGCAAAGCAGTATGTTTCTTCATCCTCCTAAATCTGGTAATCTTGAGAAGATGTCTCTTTAAAAGAGGAGTTCTGATACAGTGGTTATCCATGATAATTAGATGTTTTCTAGTAATTTGTATGGGAATTTAGGCAACCTAAATAGCTATATTGTAGTTGAAACCTGAGATTGCATAGCTGCTGTACTTCACCCTTTTTGAAATTTATTTCCATTGTCTGAAGATAGGAATTAAAATACTTCCATAGTCACACTGTTGTAAGGATGTTCAAAAACTGACTAATGACTCTTATAGACAGCTTTTCCTGTTTTAAAAATGCTCATGTATGTTGTGTTATGATTTATGATCTCTTAAGTATGTATCATTAAATAAAAGCAATCAGTCCTCTGTTTGTATGCCTACTCCTCATTCATGTTCATGAAATGCAGTTTCACATCCTATCTTGAGTATTGTAGATTTAATGGTGTTCATTTAGTTTAATGAATTTAGAATTACAGTGGCAAATGACTCAGTATATTGTTTCTTGTTTCATTTCTAGTTTGTGGAGATTCTTTTTTCTGGTTTTTTTCTGATTTCCATTAGCTAAAATCTATTTTCAATTCTATGTATTTCTTGGAATGTCAGTTCCTAAAATTTATTTTTCAATTGATTATTTTTCCTTTTAGTTTTTTTTTTAAATACGTTTTCACTCCTCTATAGAAACTGTAGTTGGAAGATTTACCGGGAGAACAATGACACAGAAATACGCAACTTGACTGCAGCTAGCTGAGGAACTAATCTTGAATAAAATGTTGATTTTAGAGATATCAATATACAGGTTTAGTGCCCTTTCAGATGGTTTTCCAGTTTCTGTTTAAGCTTCCAAATGAATCTAATCCATATTGAAGGTGTACCCTGGGATGCTGTACAGTCTCAAAAAATAGTAAATCTGCTTGAAATTTGCACATTCACTTAGAGCACAGTTTGTAAATATTTATCAAGAGAAATTATCTTTTTTCACTTTCCTCATCTTATAATCTTGGTTTCTGTTTCTGTACTTTACCATGAATTTATTTGTTAATTTAAAGCTTGAGGCTATGATGTCTAATAAATTGTCGTGTCTCGCACAATTTGAGAAGGCTGTACCTGCTTGAAAGATGTAAGTGTAAGGATGTAAACTGCCATAAGGCATCAATATGTACATAGCTATAGATAGCTACAATGACTTGCATATATGCAATTGACTTTTCTAACATCTTCCTTGTTAAGAAAAAGTGTTTGTGAAGGTCACAAAGGCCTTCAAATCCATTTTGTTTCTCTTGCTCTCTTTTTGCCCTACTTGTTGCATACTGCTTTTCTCTTGAAAGCAATTAACCTGTGCTGATACCTGTGTCAGGTTGGTGTGCTGTATAAAATAAATGTACCAAAACATAACAAGGACCTACAGTTCCATTTTTATGCTAATTTTAACTTTCAGTGTGATCTCTGTTTCAGAGCCTTCACACATGCAAAAAATTATTTGAGAAAAGGAAAAAACTTGAAAAGGTCATTTCACATTCTTCATCCAAAAGACAAATCTTGCGTATTCAAAGTGGAATTGGAATGCAAATTTGGGTATAAGTGGTGGATAGCGAGCAGTTGAGGTTTTTTTGTTTTTAAAATACCCGAAACTTTAGCTGAGAATGTCTACTGTAATATTTTATTTTCTGCCACTAGATGCAGTAGCAAAATGCTGTATCAAAATACTACTTTTTGTTTTAAATTTCATCTGAATTTGTGACTGATCAAATTACCCTTATAGTGCAGTTAGATTACCCAGCTTTATTAGTAGCACGTTTTCCATTTATCTTTGTTTATGATGACTCTGCATAAGTGTTCTTATCCTTTATATTATCTAATTAAACACTAATGGATTGTGAATACTTTCCCATAGGGTTCATGTTTGTTTCCTTCTGTAATTTCCACTCTATTTCTGATTTGGTTCTGGTCACCAGCCCCCTTGCTGTTTGCTGTCTCACAGTTTTGTGCAATTGCTCATTTGGCTCTCATTTGGGGTTATTCCCTTTGTTATGATATCTGTACAGCTGGCTCATTCAGCTTTTTAAATCCCAACTTAAAATTGATTTCTTAATTATGTAATTGTATATTCTTCTCATTTATATTTGGGGGGTTTAGTTGCTGAAACACATTCTAATGTTAGGCATTATTCATTTGTTATCTCTCATTTGTCTTTTTTTTTCTCACTGTAAAGTGCATAACGCTTCTCTAGGGAATGTTTGTTAATACATAAAAGGAAAGCTGTTGTGTTGGAGCTTGCAGTGTGTCTTCTGAATATACAGAATTAACATAAAGAAAACAAGAAAAAAGTATGAGAGTCTATCAAAACAAACAAATAAATAGAATTAAGAGTCTCATTTTGCTTAAGAGACCTCAACAAAACATCAGTCAATGCCATAAAGAGAAACACAAATATTGTAATGGTTATTTCTGGGATGTGAAGAGAAGCTTTGGTGCACTCAGCATAGTTGGTCTGATTTTCAGGTTTGGCAAGGTCTGTCTGGTAGTTAGAAACATATGGTGTTAAAATGCACAATAGCATGTTTGAAACTCAGATGCATAGACCAAACTTGTTGGAACTAAAGAGCAGTGTAAAATTCTAGTATAATTATATCGGAGTTTAGTTTATTGGAGCAGGGAACAGCAGTTCAGTGCAAGAATGATCATGTGTTGATACAGAATTGAAAAGGGATTATGATTTTCATGTGGGGCTATGCATATCAAGAATTTTTGGTTACGGTATCAAAAAGGAAAGCCTAGTTTGGATCCATCCAAACAATAAAATTTTCTGTTTTCCCTTGTGGAAACAAAAGCCTAAAAAGATTTTGTGTGGAATCAAATAAAAATGTCTTTTTTTACCTAAGTATTAGAAGTCTGGATTAGAGCAATTGTTACAATCATGGCAGGTGGTCCAGGGGTTTCTATGAACTAAATTATTTGAAAATTTCCTTTATTAGGTTCCTTGTTCTTACTGGGGAGCTTTGAGCAGAGATGTCTGTGGTGGGCAGTACCTTAAATCCCTGGACTTTAGCTTTTTTGAAGAACCTTCATTTTCTCTTATTGATGATGACTAGGTACTGTAAAAGGACGAGAGCTCCTGTGTCATCTTAAGGACTTTAAAATACTCTCTACACCATTTAAATAAATGTTCTGGCCATTAGGTTATAGTCTTTCTTTAGTTCCACGATTATTTTAAGTACTTTATAGAAACCAAAAACATTCATTAGCACAGATGAAGACCACCTGAATTGTCTTTAGGAAGGTGACTTTAGATCATTGCTGACGGATGATGGTTCAGACTTTTATTAGGAGGGGATATAATCAAACCTTGGTTTTTATTATCCTGGGGCATCTTGGTGACTACTGGGATTTCATATTAAAGATGGATTACACCCAGCATTTCATGCATACAGGGCATGTTCTGAATAGTCCAAATTGGTTGCTGAAGAGTAGTCAGGTAGAGAAAAGCCAAGCCTCAAGACCTGCAGGTGGTCAGGTAGAGTGAAGAGTTAGGCAGATTAGGGAGGACCAGAAGCAGATCTTCACATGCCCAGAGAATTTAACTGAAAAATCTTGAGTGACTGGAATTAGGTAGAAGCTGAAAACAGTAAATGAGAGCTTTGTTTGAATTTAGGTGTTTGCAGGATCTTGATTGACCACTGTTTTGCGAATGCAAAAAGCTGTCTTGAGTAATACAATTAAAATTTGATGTATTTCAGGTAATTTTATTTAAAGGATTCATGACCTATTTCACTAGCTGTTGGTAGATATTCAGTGAAGCAGTTGAGTTCTTGCAGGCAATGACTCATTCCTGTGTAGTAACTGTGGTAGGTGATCATATGTGGGACTTACCTGCCTCATGTGGTTTTACTTCTGGGCTAGTCCCTCCAGACTGCCTTTGCAGTTAGTGAGGATCTGGTCAGTGGAACCTGGGACACCTTACAGGCACATAAGTAAAATGGGATGAATTCCAACCCATCTCTTACTCGTGACAGCAGTCCAATCAGTGAGGTACGTTTTCCTGTCATGAGGTGGTTGGGGTTTATGGAGATGACTTCATCCCTCTGCTCTGACTTTTAGTCCCAATTTTTTAAGGTGAAAAGGCCTAGAATTTGTTGCCTCACCTGCAACTGATGTCTTTTTTGCCAAATATATTTAGACATTGTTTAATGACAAGGCCATACCAGCTCTGTGGATTTTCACATAATTTATCATATATCATACAACACCAAAGACAACAAAAGAATTTGTTATGGCATTAAAAAAATGCCTTTTTTTTTTCCTAAATATTTGAAATCCGGACAAATGTTTATAAAACATCTGGGCAGTCTTAACATAAAGAGGATAACTATTCTGCAGAGATGTATAATTCTAAAGCTCAAAGTTTGTTCCTGCATCCAGATGTACTTGTATTTGCATTTATCATGGCAGCATCTTGCAGAGAAGGGCAGAAGAAATTTGCTTAATTGTTATTAATAATAGTACTTTGGTGCCATGTCATTTATTCTAAATAATGTCAACAACATAATAGGATTCATTGCTAATTTTTGTTGTGAGATTAATTTGCGATATGGAAAAGCTCCTCACTTCAATAGCATTCTTCACCATGAATCCAGGACTATACCTAACTTGCATGCTTCACCTTAGACTGCTTTATCTTTAGTAGCTGGTTTCTTCATAAAGACTGCTCTGTTCCTAAACAGTGTTTATAGGTTCTGTAATGTTTTTATCTTAACATTGTTGCTTGCTTAAATGTTTATTCCAGAAGGTCTGAAAAATTTTTGCAACTACTGTTAATTTCCCCTTTGAAAGGTACCTTATGCACAACTATTTTTCAGGCTCTTTTTCAAGACATTTTAACTACAGCCTAGGCTTAAACTGAGTCAAATCACAGTCACATTTTCTACTGAACAGCAATGCACTACATTAGTTTTACAGCCTCTGTAACTGCATTTTAAGGATATATGCATTGCTTGGGTCTCCATTCTCCTTAATGCATCTCCTGATGCATACTGGTATGAATCCTAAGCAAACTTTTTGGTGCTGTTTTCCCATCCTGTTTTTCCTGTGGAATAGTGATGGATAACCCTTTCTGTTGACTTGGGCAAGATCGAAGAAAAAAAAAGCAAACAGACAGACCTGTCTATGACTGTGACTACCTAGTGTGAAATGCCAAACTCAGCTAACAGGCTGTTCTTCATACATAAAAGAAAATACAGACACAGTATCCAGCCAGCCAGGAATCACCAAATATACCAGAGCAAAATCCATGGCTAAACTGAATGGAAATATTTTATGTAAATTCATCTATTTGTTCTTTTGCTTGCTTGCTGCTCAATGCTGTCTCTCATGTCCTCCTACACAAGAGCTCAGGGTGCCTTTCTTCATTAGCTTTTCTTACCTTTCAGAATACTAAAAAATATGCAAAACAAT